ACTGCTCAGTGTTTAACTTGGTAGTGGTAATGCCCCTTGGATAACTATCCTTGCAGGGCTAACAGCATATGACCATTTGGGGTGGGGAAAATCAAGTGTATTCAAAAAAGTGTTGCCTGTTTCTACCCATGCTCATAGGTGGAGTGATGGCCAGTGTTTCTCCTGGTCTAACAAAAGCCTGAGGTGTCCTGACCTGCCCTCCCTCCTGCCCTGTCAGTGTGGGCTTATGAGGGAAAGTTTGTTCCGCAGTAACCTGCCAATTCTACATGGACCTGAAGATGTTTGTTTTCCCTTTTAACACCAAAAACTTCAATGAAATATTTGCGTGTAGATAACTGGGTTAAAACAAAATAGTCTGTACATCTTACAGATTTACTATGTAAATGCTTGATTTCAATTTGCTATGTAGAGTTGCTTTCTCCATTTAATATTTAACTGTATTGGTGCAATTAAAGTGCAGTGCAGCTCACTGACTTTTTTGCCTTGGATCTCAGTGGGGAGAGTATCTGGGCCTGGCAAAATTTGAAGTGATAGAAATCTTAATGAATTTGGTCCTGTGTCTTTTCCTTATGCTACCTTAGTGCAACAGTCCAGCAGCCCTTCCATGGTGTATGTGGCTGGATAGTTTAGTAGCTGCTTTCTGCTAGCACTTGCTGTTGCAAACACCATTCAAAGTAGATGGGTTTGTACAATGGTCAGAGCTGCTAGAGCAAAATCTGTAGCCTGAATAGGAATGAAGGTGGCAGCAGCTTGATGTCCAAATAAAAGTACTGTACCTTCCTGTTGGCAAGTGATGCCAGGCAAAATGCTCAGTCTGAGTGAAGGTGGGTGCATGTCAAGCAGTGTGTCTAGTGTTTGTGAAGCAGTATGAGACAGACAAGGGGTGGAAAACAGGCAAGTTCTGTGTTGCCACAGGATTTCATGAAGCATAAAATTACCTTTGCAGGAGCTAATTTCAAATACCACAGTAGGAGTCTGTTGTCCTCATCAATTTGTTCCAACATCACAGTGTTAAAAGCACTTGAACTGGGTGATGGAGAAGAAACTGATATTTTTATACTGAAAGTGAGAGAGCTGTAACAGGTGTTCACACAACTGTTATTGCTTTAAGTGCTATTTCATGTCTTGAATTAAACTAACAAAAAAAAGGTGGGGATGGGACAGGAGGCTATTGGTCACTAATATTCAAGGTGACAGAACTGGTTTGGGTTAAAAACTCAAGTAACTTGTTGCAATAAAGCATTCTATCTGAATATTGGGTAGCAGTAAAAAACACAGCTGTGCAGTATAACAAACTTACATAAAAAAATGTAGTCTGAGAATAAGTTGCTGTACTTTCAAGTTGGAAAATAGGGATGACTGCAAGAGGACCCTTAGTACATGCTACATACTGGTTTGAATCCAAAAAGCAAATGGAAAAGGCTAAGAGACTATCTTACCTTCCAGTGGAAGGACTGGACATAGGGTGTCAACATTCTAACTTTTATTCAGAATCAATCACAGCCATCTAAAAAATATTTTAGAAAATTTATTGAAAACTGACATACAAAGGATGATTTGGTCCCCAGAGAAGACAGACCAGAATCAGATCTTCCATGTTTCAAAATAAAGTTTTTCTTAATACTGCATAATGTTTGCCATTCTGCTGGTAAACAGCATTTTTTAAAGAAGCCAACAACAAATGAAACAAATACAGAAGTTTGAAAACACGCAGTAGCTTGTTCTCTCTTACCCTCTCCAAATGAATGCTACAGCAAGAACCTTGCTCAGTCTTAGGTGCTCAAGGCCTGCTCTAGTCCGCTCTCCTGCCCTATCAATTTAAGTGACTCAATTCTGTTCTATCACAAGGGCAAAAACAAGCTATGAGAAAAAATGTTTCCTTCCAAAGCACATCTCTTGGACACAAGTTTTTTCCCATCTCATAGTCTTTGTCAATAGTCCACCACTATATTCTTTTCTCAGATGGCAGAATAACAGGGTCAGTGATGCTGTATTAGCACTGAATGATGGGAGAAAAAATACACCTCTGAAAGTTAACCTTTGGTACAAACTTAACAGCACAAAAGAATACTTAAAAGCCATCCTCAAAAATTTCTCCTGCAAATGTGATATACAATTTGTCATTTTAAAGAGGAAAAAAGCCTGCATCTCAATTTGGTGTATCTAGACCCCTCCTGAGTTTTCTACATCCTGTCACAATTTCAGTGATGGTGAGATGGTTTAATAAAATTTTTGATTTATCCTTTATTTTCAGTTTATTTAGGATTCAGAACTATCAACTAAAAAAGTTCTAACCTTGAACTTTCACTATAATCCTGCAAGCTTAAAAATGGGGAATTATTTGGAGGCACCACATTTTCTACCTGCAGTGGCTACAGCCTTCTCCAAACTGCATGGCTCTGCTTTATACTCAAGCAATGTAGCATGTCAAAGGCTATAGACTTCAAGCATGTTCAGCAGCTTAAATAGTAACAAATTAGAGGTTTTACACAGTACATGCAGGAGATTTATAGCAGATCCTGAAATGATATTGACATAATAGCAAGAAAAAGCTGCACACGTTCTCCAATTCAGTAAAACTTCCAGAATGGTAAAGTTACACACCGGTTTCCAGCTATTCAAATACTACAATGTTTTTAGTGAAGCTCTGAAATGGCTTAGCAGTAGACAGCAAATTTCATACAAACTTCAGCAACAGAAGCAAGATAGGATTGAACAAATAGGGGTATCTTTCGAACAAGGCTTCTGATGTCAGCCAAAAGAAATGAAAGGATGACTGCAAAAGAGAATCTTGATTTTAAACTATCAACTATGGCTTATTCAACAGAAAGAAACATTATCACAAAGATTATCAATTAGCTGTGCAAAGGATGAGTAGATTTTCTTAGGCAAACAGCTGCATTACTGTGTACTTGTGCTCCTTTATGTTAGCAAGATGTAAAAACCAGACTGGGATGCTAAGACTCTGAACATAACCTATTACCTGGAAATTAATTTATTGCAAGAAAGCCTCAATTAAGATACCTCTGAGGAAGCTCAAGGACTGAAGAACAGAAGATAAAGATTCTCTGCCTTGTGTTAGGGTTTCAAGCTTAATGGAACTCTTGTGCGTTTGAGGAAAGGTACAAGCGGTAACGGGTTGAGGATTGCTGTTCTTAACCTCAGCAGGGTACAAAATTCTTTTGGCATAAAACTATATAAACTATCTGACATTATATTAATGGCACATGTTCTAAATTAAATTTTTAGTCTAGATTCCCTCAGGAATAAGTCAAGCATCTTTTCTACTTCACTACCAGTGCCAGCAGTCTGAATATTTGGGACCTGGTTACAAAGGATAATCACCATCTGACCCTCCCCATGGCAGAAAATCAGCTGTTATCTGATCTACTTACCAAGCTTATAAAAATTAAATTATGCCATTTATATAATAAAAAGTGACACTCAACTGACCTCCCAATGTGATGCACACAAAGAATCACAGTACATTGTAAAATGTCAATCAACTGGCTGAGAACCACTTTTCTCCGGGCTTTGCATCACTTGAGGAGGGACACATCAAAACCCCACAAACACAATTTAAGAGCCAATGAACCAAGGATGACCCAGATTAGCAGATACCTTGCAGGTTAGTAGCTGGTTTCACATCCTACAGCACAAAAGGCTTATCCTCAGCCCTAACCACACTGCAGGCATGTATAATGTCTACACTTGAGTTTATGTCAACTACAAACCAGCCACAGATGCAATACTGTGAAAAGCTGCATTTCCATAGGGAATGCTTTTTTATCTGTGACCAGACTCAAAAGTATTTATTCCTTTCCATATGTTTTTGTCATTCAAATTAAGCAATAACTGACCATGTATAGTACGTGCACCAAAGTCTTAATGGCTCAGCAAGTGAATGGAAGATGTGGCTTAACCTGCATTCAGTTCTTAGATTTTATAGTTTATCAAGGACAATTAAGATATTTCACCATTAAGCAAGATGGAAAGCTACTTCCTTTTTCCAAAGGCCTCTCTCTGCATTACCTTCTCAGCAAAAAGAGTATTTAACAGACTGGAGTACAGAAACCTTGTGGGAAGTTTTTTGTTTGTTGTTTTGGTTTTTTTTTCAGTTTCCTGAACTTTTCTGGCCAATCCACCTTCTTATGATTGTTAGTAGAAAAAACAAAAACAAATAATAAAACTTTAGATTCACACATAAAACCAGAAAGAAAAGAGGGGATAAGAAAAGGCAAAAAAACCCATCAGAAGCTCACCACTTCCAGTCTAAGATCTGGCATCTACAACTCCATTTCTTCTTCTGCACACCCAGACATTCCCAAACTAGCATATGGATCTGGAGACATGGCAGTCTGTTCTGATTCAGGGAATGTTTCAGTCTGTGGGTCAAAAGCAGCTCTTGGTGTTGACTGCTTAGCTTGACAACTTTCTGTAGTCTGTTGCTTCAAGTTCTTAACAGAAACAGACTTCAGTTTATCTGTGAGAAATTCAGGAAGTGGTTTCCAAAGCACCAGCTCCATAGAAGGACGGCTCCTAGAAGGGATCAAGTCTCAGTTAAATTTAAGTTTTTCAACTACAACTATTAAATGCAGAAGACCAGTGAGTTATCTTCATCCTTTCTACTAGCCTGGAACTATATTCTAGAATCCATATACCTTTTTTTTTAGCCCCTATTAAATTACCTTTTCCATAACTAGTTCCATTACTTCTAGTTCTAATCTTGTATTTTCTTTCTCTTCTTTTGTACCAAACTTGATGACCATTGTTGGTCACACTTCAGGACCTTCTTTTGAAAACTCACATACATAAAAATCAAGATACAATGGTTTATTCAACAAATTTCACTCTGTACAAACGAGGAGTACAAAACAGACAGCTTGATGGCCACTACAGTTAGACTTCTCTTTCACCTTAGGACAGGTTTTCCTGCATAGACCAGATGAATGGTCTGTTATACAACATTGGCTGCATCATGCAGCAATTAAGGACACGTCCACAACATGAGACGGGGTCTCTCTTTTCATTTGCACATTAACTACATAGTACCATAATTTCCTCCAGAACTTACATAGATTCTATTATTTTCTTTGTCAGGACTTCACCAAAATCCCTCTTCATCCCTTTTTTAAGGGTATCTGACAGGATAAGAGTGGGCAGATTGCTAACATTTCCATCAGCATGAACTTCCTCATCTTCATCAATTATCCTAGGAATGGAGGGGGAAGAGGGAGATAAACACTATTGAGCATACTGTTAACAGGCACATCCACTGCAGATGACAGTTGTATCTACATGCACTGCCCTGCACATGCAGGTATCTGACCCAGGCTGGGCACCAGAAGCAGCGGGGCCATGTTAACCTGAGTCTCTCTTGGGCCAACACACCCTAAGAACGACTGTCAGCACAGAGCCACTCGAGCAGCTCTGCCATTTCTGGTACCTGAGCTAGCTTTGTTATCCCTGCATTGTCCAGCAGTGTGCAGTGCACACACACACAAAGAGAAAACAAATACACTTCAGGGGAAAGTATTTGGTTCAGTCCCACTACAAGAGTGGGTCTCAGTTACACTGTAGCTTCACCTGCTCAATTCCCCTTGTCTTAACCTGGAGAATTACTGACAAGCTACTGAACACAGCTCTGAACACCTAAGAACACTGCACAGATTTCTCAGAGTTTAAAAATGGAGCAGTAAGTTCGAGGACTTAGAACCAACTTGAGGTATTTCCTTTGGTTTTGGTAAACCTTTGAAAGAGAATTTAGCAGAGTAGCTGGCAAGGAGGGGGAACAATCATCTGAGGGGTCCAAGGCAGATTTTGCAATGCAGATATAGCCAGATAATAAAGACATATACCACTACTCTGAGTTACCAATACAAAAATAAAATAATCTAACAGTACCTTGCTTCCCTTCATGCATCATCTATGGAGTAATCATCTAAAAAAAAAATCTTTTATAATTTATATAACTTTTGGCTTTTCTAGCAATTGTCTGCGGTGGTCATTTTAGACACTTTGGAACACTCACTGAACTGCAAGCAGCTGATACATACACTTAACATTCCCAGAAATCTTTCAAATGCAAGAACTCACAGTACATTTACCAAATAATTGTAAGAGACTGCCCACAGCCACCCCAGCACCCCTGTACCAAACCACCTGGTGTTTAATAGCAAGATGAACCTCAGTCGTACTGCACATGCACAGAAATCTCTCTGGTTCATGCTGTTCTCTTTACTGACAAATTCACATCTCTCTTGAGCATTTAAAAACTTTAATCACAGAACAAGGTGCAATTGATTGAAAAAAGCTGAGTTGAAGTCTGACCAGATAACACCAGTTACAATTTGATCTCTAGATACTCACAAAAGAGCAAAAAACCCATTAAGGTAGGCTGATGCTGCATCATGATTGTGAAAGGTGGCTGGCTATTTATTCAGTATCTCTTGCTCTAGCACTCTCAAATTCAGATCATGGTATCAGCCCCAAGACTCACAGAACTACAGGTAGTAGTGAAACCACTAAGAAACCACTTGAACAGAAGGTTCATCGTGGACTCACAGAAGTGTCACCACACTGCTAAGCACTAGATTTAACCCTTAATGCCCACCAAAAAAAGAGAAAACTCAGCAAAGCCCAACTACTCAATCCCTGCATTTACCTGTCCTCAATTTCCTGAAGCTTCCTGCGAGCAACCTCGCATTGCTGTTCCCCCATTGTCTCATCCATTTCTTCACAGGGCATTTCTAACACGGCAGTTTCAGGACTGCTGCCACCATACTGACTTGCTACCTCCCCAGCAGCCTGCTGACCTGCACAGAGAATCCATTCTTCTGTATTGGGATTCAAAGGGCAAGTTTTGGCTCCTGTCAGTCTCTTCTTCCTCACAGGACAACTAGGAAACAAAATTAAGTTTACAACTGTCAAAAGAGACACACAGCATTCTGTAGGAAAAAAAATAAATATAGGAAGTCATGTGCACGTCAACAGACTTGATGTGCTGTGGAAACACAATCTTCAGAAAGAAAGTAAATCCATGTAACTCCTACTAAAATGTGGGTAACCATGCAACAAAATCAGTGCTACACAATTAATTAACTGAAAGAGATTTGGGTTTACGTGTAATTAGGGGGAAGAGATCCAAATGGAAACAATTCAGAACAAGTTCTCTTCATGCCTATGTTGTAGGTGAGATGTGCTCAAATCTTTATAGGAAACAAGGAGCAAATTAAGATTTTTCAGGCTACAAAAGACAAATTTAATTTACCCTTCTGCCTCTTCTTCTAGCTTATGCTTCTTTCCACAGCGCACAGAGACACTGCAAAAGAAAAACAAATGTTTATTTAGCTTCTAATTATATCCTCCTGTGACACTGAGATTTTCAAACATTATTTTCCCCCCTTTTAAAATTTCAATCGCAGCTAAGAGCAGCAGCCACAGTATGTCACCAGCTGTGAAGGGACCACTTTATTCCAAAAAAAGTCAAAGGAGGCTGTAACTTCTCTGTCATACAAGCAGAACTCCATGCTAATTTCTCCTCCTTCACATTATTTATTTTTTCCACAAGGGGCAAGACCATTTTTCGCTAAAATTTAAACAGTTCAAGCAGCAACAGGTGATCCAACTTCAGTCTCTGAATACTTTGCCTCGTGGTGACTTAATCAAATTAAATATGGCCAAACAACCACATTTTATGGAATAACTGAAGTTTTTTTTCTCACATAATGAGAAAGCATGAGTTAAAAAATAAAAAAGTACACGAGCTTTAAAGACCTCAAGATGTTGGCAAACTTAACTAGACATTTTCTTTTAGAAAAGCACCTTCACCCCCAGCCAACAAATGTCAAGGCCGTAAGATGAGGGCGATGCAAACCTAACACTGCACAGGTGAAACGCCGCCAGAAGAAAACTAATTACAACCCATCTTAACAGGAAAATTGATTTCACCCGGGCAACAGAGCTGAGAAATACGTCCCCTCCGCGAGGAGCGGTGCCCGGGGTGGCACTTACTGGCTCTGAGCGGGCAGGCCGGGGGGTCGCGCCGCCGTGAAGGAGCCCAC